TTACCAAGCTGTGAGAAGTTATAACTATTTTGTTTTCCTTCTAAATAATAATTATGCACTTTTCCTTCTTTCCTTCTGCAGATGGTTATACAGACGTAATTATAATGATGAATTGCAAAGACATAACAAAGCTTCAGCCTCTTTCCATGCACTGAAAGATGCAATGGATAAACAGCAAGAAGAATTTGATATTCAAAAGTTAAGAGCTGCCTATTACAAAGAGATGGGACATGGACCTATAGGTATGCATTTGGTGCCTGCTCTAATCAGGACCAAATTACCTACTCCTCAATCTGAAGAAATTGATTCCAAGATGGGAGAATCTGTGGAATCTCTCAAAGATAAGAAGCCAGCTGGTATCAAATAATGGGTTTTAAGTGAAAAGCCTTTTAGTAAAGAAGGATTCAAAACTTTGATTTGTAAAAATGATGCAAAAATCTTATGAACAGTAATATATATTTATTTTAATGGAAAATGAACAGAATAATATGTTCTTTCTATGTACATGAGCTAATTCATGATAAATTAATTTGTGAAAATATACTAGGAGGACTTGTGAGTCGTTTCTTTCTGCTTTGACTATCATTTTTCATAACATCCGCAAGCTTTTCTTTTATGTCTTGACGAGTGATATCACCCCTGAGGGACAGAAAACGGCTTAGGTGGTCTTCAGTGATATCAGGATACTTTTCAATTACAGTTATTAAGTCCAACGATAACATTTCAGCATCTTCAGAACGGATAACCTCAACCAATATTTTTAATGCATCCAAAGGAGAATCTTCAGATTGAACCTGAAAGTATCCCAGATAAAAATATAAGAGTTAATGGAAATTAAATGACACAAAAAACCTTCACCTTGCTTTAGATTGTTAAAATGAATTACTTTGGGGGCTACTCGTCGAAACAGAGCTTTTAGTCGGTCTGCTTCATCTGATACCTTCTTTGCCAATTTGCGTCTTTGCTCAAGTTCTTTCAGTGAAAGTTTGCGCTGCAGAAGCGCGGTTAAATATTTTCTTGCCACACTGTTCTGAGCCTCTATTATAACCAGTTCAAAATTTTTTTCACAGAGGTGTACGTAATCCTTCATTAGTGGGCAAAAAAAATTTAAATTGTTAGGCATTATCAAAAAAAATGTTAAACTAGTAAAAGTTGTTTGACATACCTGAAAGTAGTCTTCAAGTGTCACACATATTGTATCAACAGGTATTGAGCTGGTGAGCCATTTTGGAGTTGCAATATCTTTGAAGTGAATGTCTAAATCTAGAAATGCCTCATCCAATAAAAATTGAGCTGCTTCATTTCTAAGTTTCTGTAACAAGAAACAGTCTTGTAGGTTGGAGTCAAAATTGTTTCAGGTAGAATAAAAAGTGCTCACCTGGAATGTGGTTAAAAGTAAATCAAGTTTTGTTGCCGAGTCTCTATCATGGACACCTGGGCGCCAATACTGCACTTTTAATGATTGTGCCAACTCAACAAAACGAAGGCAGTTGTTTACAATAGTGATCATATAGTGAGTAAAGAATGGAACTTGACTACGGTCTTCAAAGTGCCGAGTTTTAAACATAATGATGGCATCTCGATAACGGTGACCATACTGAGCCACCTGATCCATTGATAGGAGAAGAGCACGATGAGTAAGTTCCTGGCTTATAAACACAAAACAGAAACAATAAATCAGAGAGAAGGAACATCAGAAATTGATAAATAAATCCACAAAATCTAGTGATTTTATATCATAGATTCATGTACTTCTCATTTCAGTACACTAATATCAATTAAACAAAATTATACCTTATGATTTTAGTGACAACAAGATTTTGATCAATCATTTGAAAGATTATGACCGGAGCAGATGTGTGGAAGAATCCATCCGTTTCATCTCCCTCTGGAGCAACACCAGCTCTCCAATCAGCCTGTTCCGCTTCTAAAGTTTTTCTCATCCACTCCTGATAGTTATTTTCCATCACCTGTATTGATAATTAATGAATCAATTAAATAAAATAAGACCACAAAATAATTAATGGTTAATATTAAACAGAGAGATAAAATTAAAAAGAATCTGAACCTTCAAATATTTTTCTTGCAATGAGTTGACAGCAGTTTCAGATAACAAGGGCCCAAGGCGTGATGTGTCAAAATTTAACTCGGGATTTTGCATGAGTTCTGGTCCAGCATAGGTATTAGTAGTCCAGGCAAGCATAGAAACCATTTCATTTCCTTCTAATCCACTTTGGACAAGTTCTTCGAGCTGATAATTTTAAAGGTTTGTAAAATGAGTTGTCATTCAATTTTTCAATTTGTTGATCATGATGTCCACACATCATCATGGGACTACTCACATGCCTAGAAAGACAGGTATGATACATCTCAACATATTTTTCAACAATGTTCCACGATGGAGGAAAGCATGGTTCACATAATGTTTTTACAACTCTTAGGTCCTCAAGAATGAGTTGGCGCGTAAGCTGTGGCATAAACAGTTTTAATCTCAAGTACGTCAATGTTATGATAGAATTGAAAATTGTATTTCATAATTTGGTCTGACAAGTCTCATACACTACCTATTTTTTCCTTGACAATCTGATTTCTTACCTCTAAATACCGCACAAGCCACATTTTTGTATCCCTTTCATCGACATGAGTCCCCTCAATACGCTGAGAAACTGATTGTTCCAATACTTCCATTGCCATCTTCCTCCAATGCTTTGGTCGACCTGGAGGCTTGAAACCACTTTGTTTCTCTCTCTGAATTAAACAAAATAAAAACATTTAATAAAAAGAACCCAGACATACAAGTGACCAATCAATCAATCATCCAGTAATTATACCTGAGCAGCAAACTCATCTTGCATTTCTTGCCATTCTACAATTCTGAGTGCTGTGACAATAATAGTAGGTTCCTTCCTAACGGTGTTTAGTGTTCTTCCCAGCACAATACGAACTTGTTTCTCTAAAAGACTGCTCAATTCCTCCACATCTTCAAAGTAAGCAGCTAACAGCACACAATCGGCAGCAGATTGGTTTGGCGACTTGTGGAGTTCCCAAAGCAAATCATCTCGCGAGTTTTCAAGATCTGTCAAGCTCTGGAAATCATACAGAATTCAGAGTAGTTTCATTAACTGTAATAAATCCGAATGAAAAAACAACAACGAAAAGAAGCAGGATGAATTTACCTGTCTTGCATGTAAGAGGTCTCCTTCACTTATCCATTGCTTAGTTTTCTCAACACATTCAGGAACAGTAAAAATGTGTTTCAGATTTTCCATTGCAGTGACATATTGGGAATGACGACTGTTTTCTTCCTTCACATCTTGAAGATTCTCACAGAGGGTGGGTACTTCACAAAATAATTGGTCCATTGTCTTTAGACTGGAATGGAATTTTTAGAAGTGTTATATTTTCAAGAAAAAGGAAGTAAGGTAGTTCTGGTATAAAACAAACCTATCTTTGATGTCTTTTATTTCACTCAATGACACTTGAAGTTGATCTAGGCCTACTCGCACTCCATCAAGTTGGCTTTGCATTGCAGTTTTTAGCATTGCTTCAACAGAAGCTTTTTTCCTTGATACTCTCCTTTTATATTGCTCCACCTAAAATTGTGAGAACAGGTAAGGAAAAGAATCTATGACTGAATGAGGAGGAAACGTGAAACCCACTCAAAAATGAATATAGTAGGACTACCTAACCTTTTCCAGCTGGCCTGGTCTTTGCAACATGTTGATAACATGTTTTGTTGCCGTAGCTCTAGCTTCGGCTTCCAGCTTGTCCATTTTACAACTTCTATGACGTCTGATCTAATATGATAGACTTCTTGTTTCACTGTTGGGGGCGTAGCTACGCTAGAGCGTTAAAGTCCACGACAATAATATCAACTTCATAGTGATAACATTTTTAAAAAGTATGAAATGTGGTCAAACAAACAACTAAAGATAGCAAACAAGATGTGGAATTCAATCTCCTAACAAAGATAAAAGTCCTCGTTAACCTATCCTATAACCTGTCACCTTCCCCCTGGGAAAACAACAACAAAAACATAAGGTAGTGCTGATATTGGATCGTAAGCTTATTGGCAGAGACTTACAAGCGAGCGCGCATGCGTGGAGAAATTCTTGGGATTGTTTCACATGTTTCACATATTCAAAATTTCTCAAGATTCAACAATAACTTCCGTCATGGATTTCAGTACGGGTCGCCGCTCTCAAGACAAGGCTATGAATCTGAGAGGTCTATCTCACTCTCGTCCATACGTAAAAAATAGTGATATGATTGAGTTTGCATGACAAACAAAAATGAAACAATGAGAGGTCATGAAAATAGCATTTTTTTAATAGTTCACCCTCAATTACAGTTCAGAAGATCAGTAACACTCTTAAAAACGCGATAATGATGTACATTCAAATTCTTACGAATTCACGTATTACCCAATTTTATTAATCTGTGGCTTGAACAAGAATTTGTTGGTATTGACTAGAGCTACATGAAGTTATTGCCGACAATGTTTAATTTAACAACTCTGAGCGCCAAAAAACTTATTAGACACTTATTCAATGGTAGATCACAGCAGTGTCCACCAATGGTGACCAGCGTTACAATAATATTTTTGACTCTATAATAACACAAATTTATTCCCCATCCTATCACACCCCAATGAGAAATAATTGTCAAAATTATATTGAACCATGCACATTGGAAACCAATTGGCAACAAGTCAATTTTGCTGCAATTTTTGGCAAACCATTTCTCACTGGGACAACTTCTTCTCTTGGAAATTTGTGTACAACACCCAGTTGTAGAATGCAATTTGTTCCATAGAGGAAGCAAAACAGACTTCAAGTAACAAATATTTAGGTGCATGCTGCACATCAGTCATCTTCATGAGATCATAAAGAAAAGCATAAAATGGATTCCTTCATAAGAACAAGTTTTCTAATTGGCCAAATATGAAAACCATACTCATATTGGGGCAGATAACATACTCTCAATAAAAATATACATAGGGTTTACATTTCAGTAAAAAGTAGCAGAATAGGCGTATGACAGTGTCACCTGGGTTGGGTTTGACCTTACAATTTTTACTCTCTGCATTAAACATAGAACATTTTACTACAAAAATACATCAGAAAAATACAATACATAACATTTTGACATGAAGGTTGGAGATATGGTTTAATCACAGAATCTAGAAAAAGAATGTGTAAATGAAACACTTCCAACCCTGTCATTAGTGCTTCTTATTTATCACCATGTCAACAATAAAACTTTAAAGTAAAACCTAAAACTAGGACTATTTTATAAGATCTATTTTTAAAGGGGAAATATGTTTTCATCCATATTTGTTCAGTTAGAAGCACAGGAAAATCCAAGACTAAACAGGAAAAAAGTCAAATACTGTTTGAACAATAAACTTAATGCATCTTGATAGAAAACAGAGGATAATTTAAAATTCAATGAATTGTGAGTCAAAGTGGAATTACTGATGATACATGGCATCAAATTTGTTAATATCACACACTTACATCTGCATAAAAAATGTGCCTTGAATTGGACCTTGGAGAAAGAATATAAGTACAATGCTATTAACCTACTGATACTGTAAGCCTTGTGTGTTTTTACATCAACTAATGCTTAAGAAAATTATTCAATTGAAATAAAGACACAAATACACAAAATAGTAATGGACCCTGATTTCATTCATTTATTTCATGAATAATGCGTGTGCTTCCCAATGTCTCTCCAAAGAACTGGTAGTTTCAAATTTTTCTCCACATTGTGTGCAAAGGAAAGGTTTTGACCGCAAATGACTAACACAATGTTCTTTAAGATCATTACTGTCTGAAAATTGCATTCCACACTCAGTACATCCAAATGGTTGAGTTATCACACCATCTTTGGTATTATCCTCTTGTTCTTCAAAGCAACTGTCTGCTATATTTTCCTTTTCTTCAGCTTCTCTTGAGTGTGCCCACACATGCCTGTTCAGAGAGTATCTGCCTACACAAATGATGCCACATTTTGTACAACCATATGAACGAATATCCCCATGAGATTTTGCATGTACATTAAGTGATTCTCTACAACCAAATGAAACTCCACATTCACCACAATGTTCAGAGTTATGATCAGGTTCACCATCATCACTAGAGTCAGTTTCAAATGATCCTGATTCATCATTGTCCTCAGGTGGCTCAACCATTGGTTCAGCTATAACGGATACCTCATCTTCTTCATTACCATTTTCTTCAATGTAATTATCTGGAAGCTCACAGATTGTCACAGAAGATTGATGAGAAATCTGGTGATCCTCAAGCTCAGATTCAAATTGAAAACAGTCATCACACTCCATGCACTTGTATTGCTTTAAAAGATGTGCCCCAAATGAAAATGAATATGGCACAGTGCTTGTGCTACAATCTGAGCAAATAAATGGGGTAGTTGTGCTGGTGACAGCAGTAAACAATCTTGCGCAAAGTGAACACTGAACAGTCTTGACTTCCATAGTGGTTGAAGACCCCACATTGTTTGTTGCAGCAACATTTGCTTTTAATTCATTTCCTTTACATTCTCGCAAATGCCAGTTGATACAAGAAACTTTCTCAAATGTTGAATTGCACCTCATGCACAAAAACATGTCATCATCTAGAAAAAAAATATTGATATTATTGTTAACAGAAAGTGATAGCATAATAAATACAATAGAACAAGAGGTCAAATGAGGGGGATGTTAACAAACCTGTCCTGACAACTGATGGAGGTCCAGATATGCCATTTCCTTCTGGTGGTACATCCGGAATATCCTGGACCACTAGATACCAAGATGGCATACTATTTGTCTGCGTAGCTTGAGGAGTTGATGTCTGAATGTTGCTGAAAGGTATTGATGTTTCTGATGTTCCTACTAGGGGATTGTACAAATTTTGAACAGCAGGCACAGCAACTAATTGATCACATGTTTGGGGAACAGGCACCGCAATAAATGTTTCAGCTGGGTTTTGAACTGAAGCTACTAATGGAGGATCGCCAACAGTCATCTGTGTAGGTACAGCCATGACTGGTTCAACTTGATTGTGAGCTACAAAAGGAGCTTGAATTCCAACTGCTACAGAGGGGGCAGTGCTGGAAAGACTTTCGGCAGGAACAGGCAGAGCTAAAAATGTATCTGGAGCTCTTGAAGTTATTGCAGGTGATGCACCCATGTCAATAGAGCCAAAATAATGCTGTCGAGCACAAGGTAAGTCAAGGCTCATTGGCTGAGGACCAGCGACAGTCACCCAAGACTCGTAAGTGTTTGTTTGGTGAATAACGGAGCCATCACTGGAAGCTATACTAACACTCTGAGTTTGCACCACCATATGACCAGAACCTCCCAAGCCATCCATTTGGTTGCTGACTTGGGACATTGGGCTTCCGCCCAAAATCCATGGATTGTTCAACATGATTTCTCAGAAATCTGGAAATAACATAATGGGTGTAATATCAATCAGTTCATCAAATTAAAATTTGTACATTTTTCTCCCAGACTTTAAGAAATTTGAGCGGGTTGAAACAAAGAAATAGTTAAGCAAATATCATTTTTAAATATGGTGCACCAAAAAGTACAAGATTTAGAAAGAAAACAGTACAAAAAAAACAATGAACCTATAACCTTAAAAAAAGTTTGAAGTGAGGTTTACTTTCCGTACGTTGACGAAAACTAACGCAAAATAAAGAGGCCGAACTGTTAAGTGCTCTTTCGGGTAAAAATAGCAAACTCACCTTAACTCTCATGTCATGATGAAACCGATGCTGGTACCTCCCGGCTCTCTTCAAACGCCGACATGTTTACTGGTCTGTCTGTGCTGTGGCTTCTTGTTCTGTTTATCCCCTCCACCCAACGGATCGCCCCCACCCCCACCCCCTTTGCAGATGACTT